TTAAGTGGCCTTTCATTTTAACATATATAGCATCAAAATACTCCAAATGCATGTTTATAAATGTGGAGGGAAAAACCGGAGGACCGGGAGAAAAATCCACGTGACCACGGGGAGAGAGACACGCAAACTCCAAATACACAGCAGCAGGCGTCAGGGTCAGCGTCGAACCCATGAACCTCCTGCATATCAGGCGAGGTAGTTAACATATCCTAGCCACCGTGATGACGATGACAGAGAGACACGCAAACTCTAAATATACAGCAGGCGTCAGGGTCGGGGTCGAACCCACGACCTCCTGCATACCAGGCGAGGTAGTTAACATCTCGCTACTTACTTTGCAAGACTGCCCTCTGCTGCCCACCGCGTAGCCCCGCAGCTCACCACACCCGTATTATATGCATGGTGTTCGCCCGTCGAAGAACTGTCCAGGTTCAAACCTGCTTAGCTTCTAAGCTCGGCCGCATTCCAGGTGAATTTAGTCACACACAGGCACATAACCTTTAAGAGGTAAATATTGCACAGATCCACGACATTGCTTATTTAACATAATTACGCCAATGTATTCCTTGGAAATGTTCAAGTATTAACAGCATGGTTATTATTATTATTAGCTGACTTCGTTTGCGTTCGTCGATGGTAAAGAATAGCAGCAGACAATGAATGGCGCCGCGGTGGCGAGATGTTAACCACCTCGCCAGGTATGCAGGAGGTCGTGGGGTCCATCCCGACCCTGACGCCTGCTGCTGTATATTTGGAGTTTGTATGCTTTCCCCGTGGTCGCGTGGATTTGTCCTCTGGTGTTTTCCTCCACGTTCACAAACATACTCTTTGGTTCTTTCGGTAAAGTCACGTAGGTATAAAATAAAATACAAAATATTTTTATTTTATTTTATACCTTCGTGACTTTAGCCAAAGAACCAAAGAGTATGGATTCCTGCAGTCACGAAAGCTTCAAATCAAGATATTCACAAACATGCTAGAAATTTCCACACGATAAGCCACTTCGTTAAGCTATCATTTGTGGCCAGGTCGCTACTGAAATAGAGCTACTACATAGCTCAACGGGCCTTACCTGGTCAATAAAAAAAACAATGTATCTTAGTTGGATTGTAGCATCGCAGAGCCGTGAGAGATGGCGACGGCTTGGGGAAACCTTCGTCCAGCAGTGGACTGACCATGGCTGATGATGATTGCGTAATCATAGGTGTGCACACTGTATATACATGTCCTCTGGCTGTGAGATACGCGCCGCGTGTGTGTGCGCGAGTCGGGCGGTAGTGTAGTGGTTAGCGCGCTGCGCTATAAACCCGGCGACCCCAGTTGCCTGCCGGGGTTCGATTCCCGCTCACGGCTAACACAAAGTGACGATTATTCTAATCGGTCCTGGCCCTCCCCTAGGTCGACTCAACCTTAAATTACTACCTGGTGCGGTGTGTAAACATCGCCACTGGGGAGACAAAGGCGGCCGGGCGTGGTGCTGGCCACCCACCCCCCTCGTGTGCCGTGCCGGCCTTCATAGGTGCTCGCGAAACAGCACTTGCCCCAACAATCTGTTCAGGCTACACGGTGGACCTTTGTCTTCGTCGTGTATTCCGTCGTCCCTCCGTGTATTTTACTCACCCTGCAATTAATCCACCGCCGTCTAAGAATAACCACGAGCTGCGAATCCGCCGAGAGTTGTGCGCGTTATGGGTGGAGATCTCTGTCGGTGTTTATTTTTCTTTCTTTCTTCAGACGATTCGAACCGCGAGTTTATTTGTCGTCATCGTCGTCACCCGCCACGGATCGATCCACACGAACCGATGTCATCGCTCCATCTCCACGAGGCGAAAGCCTCTCGGACGAGTTCCATTCCTTGGCTACCGCTCCGCTATAATTTTTTGAACGTCGGACATCGTCCTTCTTCTCGTAGAGACGTGTCCTGGCCCAAGTATGTTTTTTTTGTTAATAACTCGGTCATTCCTATGTATGTATGTTTGACTTCTTTTGCACTGTACGTAACCAACCGTGCTAATCGGAGGTGCGGGGGAAGGGCAATATACTAAATACTTAAAGCAGTTCTAGAGAAATGAGTTTTCAATCTGGATTTAAAAGTGCATAGCTTCATTGGCTTCCCAATATCGGAAGGAAGAGCGTTCCAGACGGCCGCATAAGTGCATCCGATAGCACGCGATGCTGTGACAATCTTTGTTTTCGATGGTTATTAAAAAGCCGCTGCTATGCACATACACACCACATATATCCAATAAACATAAAACGTTGAAAAAACATTGGCACGTGGTTAGAACCATTGGACCAACATTCCATGTTTACTGAGAATTAAATACCCGCACACGACCTAGAGTGACGAACTTGAAATGGCAGTGATGTTTTTGAAGGACCATGAAAGGTGAAATTTTGCACAAACATAGTCGAGTATATTCTTACAACGAGCAACACATTTAAAAAATAAAAATCACAATTGTTTCATTAGGACCCTGAACATTTTACAGGGCAGTTTCAGCCTAAAATGCTGACATTGCTTTAAGTCTCGCGTTAAAACGCCCAAAAGACAAACGCTTCCCACGGTCAGTAACCAAAGTAATTCGCTGCAAGTGGAGTGTGACCCTAAAGCCGACACGAGTGGGTGTACAGACACGTGACCTTCTGAGCACGACAGTAGTGTTGTCTGTACGTTGAAGCAAAGTACAGAGGCCAGGACACCACAGCGCAACAAAGTCGCTTAACCGCTCATACTCCTCACGTGGCCCTGTGATTTGAAATTCCACGTTCCCGTGGCAAGTGCCAGGACGTAAATAATGCGCGCATTTAAACACCGCCTCGCTTAATCATTGATTGGCGATGCCCTTTATTTAAGCGGGTGACGAGGACCCATTGAGATTCTTATCTGTTGAGATTTCACATTAAACACGGCCGGCACTCATGAGCACCCCATCTGCAGTTCAGGCAAAATCAATTTTAAAATGCTGGAAGTGAGCCAACACGCCGACAGACGGTCACTTGCTCTTACTCTTTGTCAATGGTGTCACGGGGGTCCCGCAGGTGCTAAGGCACAGGTGCGCGTGTTCGACACTGATAACGATCTCACGTGGAGCGAAATCGCCTCTCCGGTGTTCGGCACTGTGCGCATGACTTACCACGTGCTGATACAGAGGGTGTTTGTCTTTACATGACTGGATATTGTGTTGGTTTTTTTTTATCACGTGAGTGACAACCAAATGAGATTTAACATCAGACGTCAATGCGATACAACCGCTAATCTTGTTAATTATAATAATAATTATTATCCACGCTTCATTATAAAACGATTACTTTTTGGGGTGATGACATTTGTTCATAGGAGAATACATAGCTATTGACCTGCATTCTTGTGCCTTGAAGAATGTCCGTTGCCCGAAACGTCTCCTATTATACAGTTTTCCTTTTAAAGCCGCAGTATCGTTGACGAAGGCGCCGCGTTTTGTTTAGTTCTCCGTGCTGGTGCGGTATCACCCAATAATGCGTTACAGTTGATATGCATTTAAAAAAAATATTAACGAATACCACGTAGTTCCTCATGATGTTTTGCCTATTTTGTTTACGACAGGAATGATCGTAATTGTGCAGCAAACGAGACTGTGGTGCACAAATTCGTTTCAATAAGCTTTCTTCGCCTCTACGAGTTTGGGGGGTGGAGTGGAGCGGTGGCGCAGTGGTTAGCGCACTGCGCCATGAACCCCGGCGATCTGAGTGACATTTACCGGCCGCAGGATTTGCGAGTCATGTCTGAACCAGGTTCCCCGCGTTACCCTCCTTCGACTCACACAGACCGGCTGAGTTGATGTATGATAATCATAATAGCGATGCATTCACCCAGAAACACCGCACTGAGATTCTACCTGAATTCGCTGGGTTACTCGAGGATACAAAGACAAAGATCCTCCGTATAGCATGTAACGGACTGTTGGGGCAAGTGCTGTTAGCGAGCACGTATCAATAAAGGCCGGCACGACACACGAAGGGGTGGGTGGATAGTACCACGCCCGGTCGCTTTTGTCTCCCCACAGGTGATGTTTACACATCGCACCAGGTACTCGTTTTAGGCTGAGTCGACCGAGGGGAGGCCCAGGACCGATTCAGATAATTGTCACCGGTGTTGGCCGTGAGCAGAAATCGAACTCGCGTCGCCGGGTTTGTAGCGCAGGGCGCTAAACCACTGCACTACCGCTCCCCGTGTGTGTAGAGCACACACACACACAGGCCGATATGGTGAGTCAAGTTCCTGCTATGTATACATTTACATGTCAGTAAAACATTACCGTCAAACAGGGTTTTATGAATGCTGTCACTTAGAGGAAATAAAGATGTCGACGTTTCGGCCAACGGACCTTCAGAAAATACTGAGGTCGGCAGAGAGAGAGAGGGAGAGAGTTAAGCTCGGTCAGGTGAGTTTGACGAAGTGGATGTTATCAAAACGCGAAAACAGTGTTTTGATTGTGCGACTGAAGGGCAATTTGCGTTATCGCCGTTGTGGAGAAGCCATTCAGCGCGCCGTAGAAGATGCCCAAATGTCACCGGTTGAACCTGCTGCAATTGACAGGGCTGTGAACGTTTACCCCGCCATTTAGAGATAACATCGGTAATAAAAGAGAGGGCCATGCGCCAAACGACAAAGGCAAAGATGTTCCGTATAGCCTTAAGAGACTGTTGGGGCAAGTGCTGTTAGTGAGCACCTATGAAGGCCGGCACGGTACACGAGGGGGTGGGTGGCCAACACCACGCCCGGCCGCCTTTGTCTCCCTAGTAGCGATGTTTACACACCGCACCAGGTACTCATTTGAGGCCGAGTCGACCTAGGGGAGGCCCAGGACCGGTTCAGATAATCGTCACCGGTGTTGGCCGTGAGCGGGAATCGAACTCGGGTCGCCGGGTTCGTAGCATATATAGCAGCGTATCGCTAACCACTCCACGTCTACGCACCCAGACACATACAGACAGCAAGAGAGACCAACGCTACTCACTTAGCAGAGTTGCCGTGTGGGTCCCGCTCACCCTCCCGTCGGCGTGGACCTGCAGGTGGTACCCAATGCCCACCCTGCAGTACAGAGATCCCTTCCTCGCGCCCGCTTTTCCCCAGTGCCGCGGCTCCCTGCCAGCCGAACGCAGGGTGCCCGGCCCGGCGAGATGATGCTGCTGTTGCTGCTGCTGCTGTAGCTGCTGCAGCTGCTGCTGCAGCCCGGCTGGCTCGAGAACAGCCGTGGGTTCGGCGTCCGGGTTGGACTCGGGGTTGTTCGGGATGGCCTGCAGCAGCGGCAGACAGCGGAGGTGGACGGCCAAAACGACGAGAAAGCGCATGTCTGGGTGGGACATGCGGGTGTGCGCAGTGCGCTGAACTTGCCGTGCGGTCATCCGAAATGTTTCTCTCTTGCTCTTCTTTTACGCACGGAACCTCTCTCGTTCTCTCTGCCTCGTGTCCCACTCTCTCTCTCTCTATCCCTATCACTCTCCCTCTCTCTTTCTCGCTCGCTCTCTCTCGCACGCCCGCTTGTTAACGAGGTGTCGATCACGCGTGTTATATCCACACACCCACCACCACCCCCACCCTCTCCTCTTCGCTGTCTCACCCCACTGCCCGTTCAGTTCGCCTATTGCCCCGGGTATTTATAACGCGTCTGATGTCACAGCGTGAGCACATACCTACAAGTGACGGACCCCAGTGCATTGCGAACACGGGAGACTGAAACTGAGACTTGGGTATTGGGAGGGGGGTTCAGGGAGCCGTGGGTGGGGGTTTGCAAGCCCCCCCCCCACCCTCCCTACTTTTCTCCATGGCAATTAAACAAAATGTGTTTTTATTGTTGTTATGATACTGCATAGGCAGTGGTGCATAAGCACACGTGATGTAAATTCAACACATTTGCCAAGAACATTGCGGCCTTAAAAATAATATATATATAAACTCTGCTACGAAGAAGGCCCATTTCCCAAAACGTTCCCTATCGCAATGCTCATCTCTGTACACGAAGGCCAAGACACCCGCAACAACCCACACTCTTCGGTGTATTAAACATCTCCGAACATCTACTTACTACGTTACCTATACAGGACGATCGATTTCTAAATTCGTCATTAAAATAGCAATACATTTTAGAGAAAATTATATTTTCGTATGCATGCCAAAGCCTCGACGTGTCTCCCACCGATGTCAATGCGCTCGTCACATCGTTAAACACTCCTCTCTGTCAGGTAGGCAGCCCTGGCTTTCTCAATATCCAATCGCCCGATGAAAATCAGCTAAGGGGAGGTAGGGCGGTCATCGACCTGCGGTAACCAACTGCAGTGCTCTGAGAAGCTCAGCAGGGTTTAGCCTCGATGTTGTTCGGATTGGCGATCACCGTACACATCAGGCGTGCGTGCAGGCTACTGCGGGGCTAAGTATGTCAGCAAACGGCAGTGCAGCAACGCCAGTTGTACGGCACGTCTATTGCCCCCCGCTGTCGCCAACCGTCGCTGCGACCAGTGTGGTGAGGTATGGTCAAATAAGGGGCGGTCCATAAATAACGTCACGCGATTTTGGACGATTTTTGACCCCCCCCCCCCCGTCGTCACGCGGCGTCACAAAAAGTCAGACCCCCCCCCTCAAATATGACGTCACAAAGCTCTGCCCCCCCCCCCCACAAAAAAAACATGCTTCAAATCGCTTTAAACTATTGACATTGTAGTGCGTATTTAATGTGGCGCTGCACTCTGATGTTGTAGGAGAAAACATGTATTAAAAAGTCTATTTAATTAAGTAGAACGTGTTGTCTATATTTATTTAAAGTTGCGCATTTTGATGTGACGTCACATTTCTCACCCCACCCCGCCCCTTGTCACACATCGTCACAAATGTCTGACCCCCCTCCCTCTAGGTGCGTGACGTCATTTATGGACGGCCCCTAACCCCCGGCAAAGGACTGCCACTGCTGCACAGGTGCCGCGGGTGTGCACGGCACACCACCACCACGAGCGGGGGCTGTGGGTGGGTGGATGTGTCCAGCACGCACCACCACGTGCCAAACTGCACCTTTGTCTCTCCAGCAATAAAATGAAGCGGATCATAATCAGATAAAGAGTCCCTTTAAATGACGACGGTAAAACGATAAAAAAAACGTAAAGACCATCAACTAAATAGGACCGTTGGAATCAACGCTGTGCGACCGCATTTGTTTAAGCAATGCAGCAGCAGCAGTATTTGTTTACATTCGACTAGTCTCGAACAAGCCCTTCCAAGGATGCGTTGACCGAGTGGAGGGTCGCAGGACACTAGGATGGGGCTCAGATGCCACTTGATAGGGACGCGTGCGTGACGGGGCGCACTGCGATCATAGTCCAGTGCGTGTGTGTGTGTGGACCACCGCGCCACCGATCCCGGCCGCGCGTTCGAGGCCGTGATAAGGGCAGGAACAGTGAAGAGAGAGAGAGAGCTTCGTCAGCATTGTGCCCGTTCTGACGTTGGATGGTGCAGGCCTCAGACACGGCGTGTCTGCCACGGTGGTTGTTTGGTCGTACCCGGTAAGTCAGGGTTGGTGAAGTTGTGCCAATGACGTCGGCGGGGATATCACTCGCCACCGATGTCGAACGTGGCCAGGAATCGTTTTTTTTGTCTTTCTTAATTTTGATCATTGGGTCTTTACCCTTTTTTCTGGCAACAAAATTACCAAACTGAAACCTTTTACAAGGAATCGTGTCTGCATTGACCACAATGCGTGTGGTCAAAACGCAAACAAAAACATACTCTGATAATCTGCAATTGAAGCTTTCGTGACTGCAGGAATCCATGAGAAAGCATGGTCTGCTGCTGATGCAGACTGACCATGCTTTCCCATCTGATGACGGACGCTTGTGTTGCGCCCGAAACGTCGTGATTTATTTTATTTTATTATTATACCTACGTGACTTTACCGAAAGAACCAAAGCGTATACTCTGATAATATATGCATTGTCCTTGAAACTGATTGGTCCACACCAGAGACAGCTTTCTTTTGAGCCTCGTCTTAAACGGCGTTTGACCAGGGAACGTCATTTTGACTGAAATCGTTCATGCAAAGCCCATTGTCTCTTGCCGTATTAAGATCCCTTCATGACGTGCTGATCATGGGTGGTCTGTAACGGTGGCGCAGCGCTTAGCGCTACGCTGCGCCACGAACCCGGCGACCCGAGTTCGATTCCCACTCATGGCCAACATCGGTGGCGATTATTTGAACCGTTCCTGGGCGCTCCCTTAGGTCCACTCAGCCTAAAATGAGCACCTGGGGCGGTGTGTAAACATCGCAACTCGGGAGACGAAGGCGGCCGGGCGAGGTGCTGGTCACCCACCTCCCCGTATGCCTTGTCGCCTAATTCGGTGCTCGCTAACAGCACTTGCTGTTACAGTCTGTTAAGGCTATACGGGGGATCTTTGTATTTGTAACCATCATACTTCACTATGCTGGTCAGTGGGAGTTTGTGACCGGTTCAGATATCACTCGCCACTGATTTTAGTCGTGGCAGGGAATTAATAATACTTTCGATACGTCCATTAGCGGTCTCACTGAAGCCATACGACTCTTTTTTTCGGGAGGGCCCTGAATTGGAATGCCTGGCCAGATGCATTAATGAGTGTCAACCCAGTCACCGAGCAGAGGTCTCTATAGCAACTGGCAGGGAAGATAAGATATAACTTTTGACACCTTGACCATTTTAGTACCTTCTTAATGCGCAAGTCGGCCCAGGAGATCTTACGCAGCTCACATTACAGCCGTGCCTACAGTGTCTTCGTGCTCAAACAACCCCACCGGGAACGGCGCACATGCCATTTGACTCGCTCCAGCGCAGTCTGCAAACTCCACATTCCTATGGGCAGGAAGGTCAGGTCGCTCCACAGAGAACAGTCGAATGTTGACTTCCTTTTGGCAAAAAAATAATAATTACTTGTTATCCACCCCACAGAGACGATTAGATTGAGTCATTGACGGCATGCATCTGTATATTTTCACAAATGACATCGCTTAATGTAAATGATACCCTTGTACAATTCGCAGAAATTTCATGTTATAATAATAATATGTGACGGAAACAAATACCTCCCGGATCCACTGGAGTCGACGATTGGGGCATAAGCTGCTTGCAGATACTTATGGATGTCGGTGGTGAGACGAACGGCATGCCAGTTCCACTCTGCATCTCTTATTTTGGACTGGGTCGACCTAAAAGGGGGCCAACCCAGGTTCGGTGGTGCATTTATTTTTCACACTTACGCATCTATTTGTTTTGTTTAACTCTCAACCCGCTGGACTGAAAGGTAACCATACGATAGCAGTACAACAAGTGGGTTGTGATCGTGTCTTGTGCAGACCGTTAAAAGCGAGATCCCCTCATCTCTGTGGGGTTTCCTCCTGATGCGTGCAGACACGGCGGTGGCCACACATTCAAATGCAAGACCCTCTTGAAATGCACGGTTTTGTGGATACTGAGCAAGGCGCAACTGATTCAGTTTCAGTGTCATTGATTTGGTATAGCCCTGTGAGCCATTCGGCTCTTGAATCGGGTGCAACCGCAACAAACAAAAAAACAAAAAGATGAACAAGAAAACATCTTAAAGTGACTTTGCGCAATCGGTATCAATATTGTCAGCAGGTCGCGAGCGGTGGGTTAAAGTGTGGGAGCTCCCACCTCTTCCGAGACGTCTGGCAAATGCGGAAGAGTAGGCCAAATACCCTCTATTGGAGGCCCTTCCGCCAGCAGTGCGGTCCCCAAGCTCCTTGCAGGTCTGCACCTGTAACATTTTAAATTATCATCCTTATTATTCGTATGAATATTTTATTTTGCCACTCGTCTCGTGAAATCAGGAGTCGAACAGAGCGCTCTCGGGGGTTGTTGTTTTTTGCTGCCGCGCATGAGACGCGCTCTGTAATCGATACACACTCAGAAAAGCAAAGGATGCAAAAACGTGCAGGTGCCACCCCTTTCTTGCGCTCCGGTATGGGGGGGGAGCTAGGTCCCTTCACTGGGACCGGGGAGATCTCTCTCTTGGCCAAAGTTCCGAGCGATGATGAATGGACCGATGGATGCGAGCGAGCACTTGAAACGGAGCGAGGACCGCGCGCTGCAAGCGAGACAGCGCTAACGTCACGTTTGGTACACCGGGCGTGCGCCGCGCTTCCCAAATCGAATTTTCTTCTGGCAAGTGCGTGTGAAAATGCCCTGCGAGATTACGGTCTTGTACGTGGCAGATGTGCGTGCGCGTGTTGCGGGTATACGCGGCGCTGCGATGCGGATTCCTGCGAACCGCGTTCGATTGCCGCTCACGGCCAACACCAGTGACGATTATCTGAACCGGTTCTGGGCCTCCCCTAGGTCGACTCGGCCTCAAATGAGTACCTAGTGCGGTGTGTAAACTTCGCCACTCGGGAGATAAAGACCACCGGGCGTGGTGCTGACCACCCACACACCCTCGTGTGCCGTGCCAGCCTTCATAG